CCAAGTGCCTGGGCAAAACAACATTTCAGATCCAACCCATTCAATCAATTATTGTATGCATTTTTTGAATGAAATCTTTGGGGACCATTCAGTTAGCTTAGGTGGGACAAGTACGAATCCAAGACCTTGTACTGGGTTGAGGAAGAGTTGGAAGCTGAATGGGAATCTAGCAAATCGAAGTCCACCCGTGAAGTTACCCAGTATGAGACCACCGTTGCGGCACCGGACGCACTGGCTGCCCATGATACTCCTCTGACCTTGAGCATGGGCGATGTGCGTGATGTCACCACAGGCTGGAAAGGGGGGCTGCCTACTTAATAATACATTATGCCCTCAAGTTCCTTGCAACCTATGTCAAACCAGAATTTATCCATTCATTTTCATTTGTGAGGGCTTCCTGGCCAAAGTGGTGGTGGTGGCGAAGATGGCCGCCCTCCCCAGGCCAACCACAACCAGCAGGCATTTCCCCAAGTTCAAAGGAATCAGAAGCCTTCGACAGTGATCCTGAAGTACATTGATGGGTTGAACAAACGGATCCAAAAAATGACTGACCCTTGTCTTTTGATTTGTTCAAGGCTAAACTTTCAACGATTTTCAATCCAATGACCAGTATATATTCCCTTGAACAGGTCTATCTATGTTTGGCCTAGGAATTGAAGGCCAAGTACGAAGCGATCCCCGATGCTGAGAAATCTTCTACGCACACGGCGCTGCCCTGCTGCGTATAAACAACACTTGAAGTGAGGTTTGTGTGTTAAACTTTTCTTTGACTTCAGTCTGCTATAGCTCATTTAAGATCTTAAACTCGTTTTTCAACACTAAGGTTTATTGCAAAGATTGATACCTATGTGGGCTATTTGGAGCAAAAGCAGGGTGGTATCAACGAAGTGTACGCTTCTGGTGCAGTGGAGGGCTATTCCACCCAGTGACTTTCCTGTAATGGTGCTACATTGTTGCAGCGTCCTTTGAAAACCACTTATCCACCCAAGTTGGCACCAATAAATCAACATTGGTTTTCCCCACAAGTACAGAAAGAACATCTTGATGGGCTTTTACAGGCAAGAGAGCGACCTCTTGGGGCTCTACAAAGAGACCATGAAGCTGCCGGGTTCCCAATTTCTTCACTTTCTCTTGGCACATGTATCATTTACCAAGTTGCATCACAAGTGCAATTTGCAAAACTGCCAAGTCTTATATAAAATATATTAGGCATTGCCCTTGCGCTTGGGTGCTAAGGGCGCAAGAGACCTTATCGATCGAGGCCCGTTCCAAAGCTATCCCACTCCCAAAGGCCAAATGTGTTGCTGGGAAAGCGGCCCCGAAAGCCAAAGTGAAGGCCAAGGCGAAGGCAGCACCTGCCAGCGATGAGCAGCCACCAAGGGCAAAAGCCGCTGCAAAGCGGGCAGCCAAGTAGATGCTTTTTGGGGTCCCTATCCATGAAGCTCTTCGTCAAAAAAAAATGAATCATTCGGAAACCATTGCGTATACCATTTGGAAAAAATATTGACTCATAGAACAAGACCCGTGGGAACCCTGGGCTAATATGATGCTATATTTTTCAAGGGCCAGTGGACAAAGGGAATTCATGGGCCAAGCGGATCCATGAAATTTTGAAAAACAATTCTTCTGATCGATGATGGATGCGTGGGTACAAGTGATCACATGTCGGTGATCAAACAAACATGGTGCACACAGCGGATGGGAAAAAATATATTTGATGTGTGTGCGCACAGGGTTTGATATGGAGCTATGGCTGCAACTGCATATTGCTGATCAACAAAAGGACCAATTTGCCCAAAAAAGTAATATATATAATCTGGGATATATAATGTGGGATAAATATACTTGACCCATATATACATCCAAAAAGTTTCCTACATGTTCCAAATTGAATATGCCAGGTCAAGAAAAGCCAGGGATCATGCTGAAGAATCTGGCCTTGTCCCTGGGAGATGGAGTTTCTTGCCATGCAAGTGATGTGAGTTTCCAGCCCAAACAGTTTTGAGTAGCAATAGGTGTTCAAAGGGTTGGTGAAGGAATTTGGTCACCCAACCCAACCCGACAACTGTCCTATCCAAGGCTCCCGCGACCCGTTTGAAACGGTTTGCACACGCTGCATTTGAAGAAGCAGAAGCCGATGGGGCCTACCGGGTTTCAGCGGCCATCAAAAAAGCTGGGAATCTAACAGAGGAGAATTTGAAAAATGCTGAAAGAGACCTTCATGGGTTATTTCAAAGGTATGGGCTGACCGTCCCAGTGCCCACTAGTAGTTTGAAGTGTGGCCTCTTCCATGTACACTATTTCTCACTATCATCATGGTTCAATTTCCTGATGGCAGACTACTCCAATTTGCTTTTGGGTGGATTTCGCTTTGAAGACCCCCTGGCGGGACTGCTACTGGAATCTTTCTGGAAAATGTATCGTGTAGCTCACTGTGACCATTGGGTATTCCAAGAACATGGTGAACGTTTGCGGCAATGTGTGCCATACTATCTTCATTTGGATGAAGGTACTGGTCTCAGAAAGTCTGCAGTACTAGTCATCAACATGCAAGCATGCTGGGGTCAAGGGACAGCAGATGCCTTTGAGAAGCTACACGCATCTGGGCTTGGGAGAACAGATGCTGACATGGAGGATTACATGTTGAGAGCTGAATTTCACAATCAACGTGGATCATCCTTACAGTCCCGGTTTCTCTACACCCTGATCCCCAAAAAAATGTACACTAAGAAGAACCACTTTGTATATGACAAGGTGTTGAAGACCCTCGCCACCGAGAGCCGCAAGCTGGCCTCTGAAGGTATTGGAGTCACAGGCATATTCCCGATTTGCCTCGGCATGAAAGGTGATGCACCAGCATTGGCAAAGGCTGGGCATTACACCCGGTCGTTCCAGAAACTTACTTGGTTAGACTTAGCAAAGAATAGATGTTTTCACTCAAATATTTTGTCAAAATGGAAACGATATAATGGGGGCAATGGTGATTTATCAACGCCACCATGATTATTTTCAAATAATACATCCAATAATACCATTTCAGATAATTTCAGTTAATTCATCAATAATGATTGGGGATACTGGTAATCAACTATGGGAATACCCATCACCACCTAAAAGGGCCTATATAGTCAAATTGAGGTGTCCTAAAATGGGTGACCCCCCCAAATAAACGTGTTTTTTTCCTAACACTATCTAATTTTGGATGATTAGGGAATGCCTACATTTTCCAGCTTAAACATGCCAACTTGGTTTTCCAGTGCCAGTCCCAGTCAGCTAAGGAATCTCTCGGAAAAAACTGGCAAGGGCATTTGCCCGGAGTGCTTGGCGGGGGTGGATGACACCCCATATGAAGACTTTTCTTGGCATCCAGTCTGGGACGCAACTCAGGGGTTGGAGCTTCCATGGAATCAGAATGATCCATCACCACTGCTTGACATTCCAGGCCGCGGTGATCTGAACCAACATCAGATATTTCGAAAGGATCCATTTCATATTTTCAAACAGACTGTTGGTGGTCACTGGGTTGCGAGTTCCATTGTTCTACTTCTGGACCTTGGGTATTGGTCATTCCCTGGCGAATCAAACCAAGCTGACAATTTGCTGGAAAATGCTTACAGAGATTTCCACTATTTTATGAAAAATGAATGGCAAGGACACCAAGTGGCAAACATCAAGATGTTTACAAGAGCTGTTCTGCACTGGCCACGGATCAAGGTTTTCCCATTTGGGAGGTTCAAAGGCTCTGACACTATGTTGATGATTCGCTGGCTTGCGCAAGTTGTTTCGAAAGGGCGCTTTATTCCAACCATCAACAAAAGAGAGGGCATTAATTTAGGTGACAAGCCACATGTGGACTGGCACAAACCATTCCTCCGACAGGTTTTGAAAGGGAGCATTTCATCTGTGGAATTCTTCCGCATTCTGCACAATCAAGGTGTTTGGTTGTCGCGACAATTTGGGCATGAACTCGCTACGCACTGCTTTGAGTTTGTCTCTAGCTACAGCTTGCTTGCACGGATGTGTCATGCGCATAGCCTTCGGCGTTTCATGTTGGAGCCATCATTACATTACTTCCACCACTATGCCATTGACTTGACACATCGTTTGCAGGAAAATGACAAATACTTGTTGTCCCCTAACCAAGACAACTGCGAAAGTGATGAGGACTTTGTGGGACGATTGGCACGACTCTCTCGCTCAGCCCATGCACTGACTACAAACATCAGAACCCTCCAACGATATCGTATCAAACTCTGGTTTGTCCTGAAGGGTGAAGATTGGGGAGCCTCTCGGATTAGAAGAAAAAAAAAGTTGACCAGAGTTGGAAGGAGGAAGAAGAAGGTTGGCTGAGGCTCCTGACTCAGCAAAGGGGCATTGCACTCGAGGTCCACATGAGCCGCAGAAAGCTGCTGATGCGGCTTTGGGTTGTCCTGTGATCCTGTGGGATTATATGTGGATTATATAATATGTGGGTTATATCTGTGGATTATATGTGGATTGTATATGTGGATCATATATATGGATTATTAATATGTGGATCATATATGTGGATTATATATGTGGATTATATACATGGATTATATGTGGATTATATATGTGGATTATATACATGGATTATATGTGGATTATATATGTGGATTATATGTGGATTATATATGTGGATTATATGTTTGGATTATAGGTGGATTATATGTGATGATATGTGGGATAATATTTGGGAATATGTAGCTTAAATCCAAAAGGCCTTTTTTTCATTCAGTTACCCCAAAAAATCTCAAAAGGATTGAAAAAATGGGGTTACAATAAAAGGCCTAAAAACGGAAGGTCCTTGAGACTCAAGGTATATTGATTTTATATTAGGAGTTCCGCAAAAAGATATATAGAAGTGCTGATCTTGCATAAGTACATACTCTTGTATCCTGAAATATCCTGGGCAGTTAGGCATTTAGGTCTTACTTTTCCTGGTACCCTTAACGATCTCTCCATCGTTACAGCCCAAGGATGGAGACACTTTTAGACGGCCACGCGCCAAAGACTGCGCGAGGTACCGGGGTTTTTGGGTATGTCTCAAGTAAGGAGTGTCAACAGCCCACTAAAAAAATAAAGGTAATTTCTAGTAGTTTACCGTTCCATTTTGGGTTAAACATTTTGCTTCATAGCAGCGAAGCAATTGTTTGAAGTCTGCAGAGATGAGTACGGTACATCTTATGGCTATGCTATGTGGGAAGACATGGAAGGGCACTTTGATAGGTTGGTTTATATTAGTTTATACCATAGCCCCATCAAACTATAGACGCCTCCATGAAATCAATCCTACTTCTAATTCTTATGAAACTGTTTACATCTATTTGACGATTTATCAATCTAGAGGGATCCTTTCACTTCCCGTGCTTTTTTGCGATCCCAGTGATTCACCTCCATGACTCTAGTGAGGCTGTTGATGCTTGTATAAGCATGTAACATGTATGCAATATATCACAAAATATTATATATATATAAGAACATTAGATGAACAATAATGAATTAAATGAACATAACAGGTTTAAAGAATATCCAATGTAAAAGTAGATAATAAAGAGTAGACAGAACAGTTATCCAGTACGCAGAAGCATCCCAAAAATCATTTCTGCCTTAGTTTCTGACTTGTGAAGTAATGCGGTACCCGGTAAAGCCAAACATTAAACCTCCAATTGGGAACCGTATACATCCGTATACCAGTATACCAGCTATTTCTATCTGTTTCTGGCAAATAATGTATTTTTATAGATGTTTGTGTTTCGGATTTACCACATTAACATTATGATTTTCAGTTGAAAACATGCTCTTGCACCGAAAAAACATGATACCCTCGTCACTCCGGACCAGCGGACCTTGCCCGCAGGCTATGAAACTTCAGCAGTGCATGCAGCCTCCAAGGGACATCTTCCAGCAACGAGACGGCAGAATAGTCAAGGGTTATCCGGTTATCCCATATGTTTCAAATAATTAGGGTAGGATTTGATTAGCTATTTACCAGATATTTAAGTCTATACAATCATTCTAATCCAAGTTACCTATATGGTTTGGGATGTTTGGGTTCGGTGCAATCCCATCAAATTCTTGATTCTTGGACATTGATGATCTTGTTTACAACGCCCTTGACCAAGAAGCCTACGCTGGTTAATTATGATCGAAAGGAACAATCCGATTACCGGAGATTTCCCTTTGAAATTATTGAAAAATGTCCAAAAGGCAGAAAGGTATAGGACACAGCTATATATTTTGAGACTGTCCTGAAACATGGCATCGAGAATATCCATTTGCTGAATTCATCTATGAGCCGCGTGCTAACCAGCGAATTCCTACCCTGATTGAGTGGCTAGGTCTGTTGCAACTTTACACGCTTTCTTTTTGTGGCATCCCAAGACTGGCACCCCCCACCAACCCCTGAAACATCTTGCAACATCATAACATCTCAACTTGCATCTCAGACATGTGACATGAGAAAAGAAATGAAAAGAAGTATTGGACTGCCGATGGTAACCATTAACTAATCTTAACCAATACTACTATTGGACTGGTATTGCAACATGTTAACCAGAGGTCCTCCGAAAGCTTCTCGCCTGGCGCGCGGACGTGGCGCTGCCGGATGCCTCCGGACGACGCCTAGTGCCGTGGCGAGAACGATTGGAGCTGAGCTTATGGGGTGGTAGAAATGCTTGGGACAAGAAATGTAGTTGGGATATGTTGGAATAAATGGAGAAATTCTGGTGATTTTAAGACTTGGGAGAATCGTCAAAAAATGGTGTGCTTCATTGGGATTGGGAGTTTTTTTTGGTATAACAACATGTTGGGATTAGTTTAGAATTTCTGGACGAACTGACAAGAGTTGATGAGTTGATGAGTATTTGTGACCTTGTGCAAACTACTTGTCAATTGGATTCAATCGGTATGTGTTGATAACAATAAGGATAATTTCTGAATAATAGCCGTGGTAGAAAAATGAGTTGTACATCGGTCATTTGGGTTGGATCTATTTGGACTTGTTCGAACGACCCATATCTAAAATGAGATGATTGGTATAATTGGTATAAATAATTGGGAAGTATCATCATACTTATTAGAACATTTTAGAACATTATTTTGAATAGATGATGTTCCCAATCAATGATTAATAAATTGGTAAGTTTGGACAACGCTGATCTTTTTGAGTGACCCAAGAATGGGGGGGGGTAATTTTGGAGCCCCCATGGAGACAATTGCAGACTGGAATCGTAAATGCCAAGTTGTGGTTTTTAGTTTCCGGCCCAAGTATGGGGTGAAATCAGATAATTACATATATATATACTTATATAAATATATAAATATATATAATAAAGGTATCATGTTCGTGCCAGGCCTGTTATGTGTTCGTTCCCCAACTTTCATTCTTGTGCGTGGTGACATGACATCAATCCCATGCTTTCCAGCACGTTTTTCGCGATGGGTCAACAGGATGAAGCCCCAAAAAGATGTGTGATGTCATATGATCAACAATAGCATTCCCATATTATCCCCATATTTTAATATTCACATAATCTTCATATAATCTTCATATAATCTTCATATAATTTTCATATAATCTTCATATAAAAAGATATTATCAAATCATGTACAATGTACTAAAAGATGACCGTGTTTGTGTGTGTCCAAAGCTGCTACCCAAACGACTTGACCCAGGTAGATCATGCGGAGTTCTATCAGCATCACTCCGTGGCAGCCTTTCTTCGAAGCTATGCGCCTTGGCATCCCAGACTCGAAACGTAGCTAGCGAAACACCCATAGTGTGGGTTAAATGGAAACATGGATATAATTCATGGTTACAGAAGATGTTTAGCTAATTTCACCAAAAGACATTATTTACTTTACCCAAAAACCTAAAGAAACTTATAGTTTATCTGTAAATCCCATTTTACAGGATTAAGAATTACTGTACTGAATTTTCCATGACCCAATTTAAAGGTCTAAGACAGATAAATTCCCGATTATGTTATTTCAAGTGTGAGAAAATCAATAATGAACAGCATTATCCTGTTAAATCCACAATTGGTCGTTTGTTCTATATACTCCATACTTAAACGTGTACCCTCTTGTAATCTAACAAAGCTATGGAAAATAACTCATCGAGTTCGATGATTTACCTAATGCCAGGAAAACTATGGTGATTCCCCTTAGCTATGTCACTAAGTATCAGAGGGTATCCCAGTTATACATGGGTTAGGGACACCTAAATACTGTTGATGGAAGACACCAGTTGGTGGATGGTAAGTTTATCCCGTTATAATCCCATGATAGTGTTTCGGCGCTGAATCCCAAAAGTTACCCTGCCTGGTGGATTTCGCAACCATCCACATGATCATACCCTTTGAATTCTTATAATAAGGGGATGATCAAATATACCATATTTATGTATATACCATCAAAAGTAACCCCATTAGTGATTCTATTGCATGTGGTATAATTGTATCACTAAGCCACACAAATACCATACAATAACCCCATACATGAGGATATTCAAGGGGATACCCCATGTTTTCAGATCCCCTTTTTTCAGACCAAGGACGGTGAAGCTCCACCGAGCACCAAAAAGCGGCGGAGAAAGGGCAAGGCCAAGCCGCAGTCTGAGGAACTCTGAAGGCAGGGCTGGATCTAAGCTGGAAAAATATCAGAAATCCACAGGGACTATGGGGCCCTGTTCGATAGCGTTCAGGTGCCTTATATGTGGCTGAATTCTATGGTTTATGGTAGATGTAACGAAGTATTCATGGGGGTTACCAACTGATGACTGGGGGGGGCACCATCCTGTAGGGGAATCCAGGAATGAACATGGACCTAGGGGACGCGATGTTTCAATGGGTTGATTTCAGGGAATCTTCACAGGAACTAGTGAACGTTCACTTCCTTTTTCTTGTGGTTTCCGGTAAAATTTCCCTTCAATCAAGTCTGGGTTTGCTGGAATGAATGATGCATAAATGTATATATATATGTGTGTGTATATGTATTGATGCATATTGTAGTAATTACCACTTTTCCTTTAACCATTGACACCTCAGAAGCCTTGTTTTACTACTGGATTTGTTCATTTTGGGGTCCCATTTGGGGGTGGTTTTTTGTGGGGCGATAGATTGTGGTGGTAAACCCAAAGGCATGAGCCATAAATGGTTAACCCAAGCAGAAACCATCAGAAACCTTCAATGTTTGATGTCATACCGCCCATGTCTGGCAAAATCATGATTCCTTGCTTATTGCGTTTCCCACATTTCCTTACTGACCCACCAAACATATGTTCCTCGATGTTGCAGAGATTGACCCCTTGAAAGAGTGAGATTAATTCACCAAGAAGGGCCGGATTTGAATATATTTGAACAGTGAATAACAAGAAATTGAGCAGCAGACTTGGGGTATTACAGTGTGACGCCTATGCTAAGATTGATATGAATAGAACTGATACATTCAATGATTTCAGATGATGCAATTTGACAGATTTTTCCGGGTGTGCTGTTAAACAAATTGCCAACCAGATACACCTCAACAATTCAAAACAATTGAAGACACGCTAGACTGGGATGCTCATCTACTGTAACCTCTGTGAATCAAATATGGCTTGCTGGAAATTCCCCATTTAGTTGGATTACTTTCCAACTAAAAACCTCCATGCGTATCCATTTGTAAGGGATTTCCATGGATTTGCCAGCTAGCGATGTTTGATTCCCGGAGGGTACTTAAATTTGGACTTTAAAATATTGGTTCATCCACATATGACATCCTGTGTCAAGATACATCCAAGGTATTGTTTCTTTGGAATCCGACTGTCAGGAATTTCAGGTTGCATTGCATCAGGTTGGTTGATAAACAAAACATAGAAACATTTGGATAAGCTGTAATAGTTGTAATTGATTGACAAACGCGTCACCGAACTCGATGTTATTTGTGAAACTTAACTATCCTAGCTGGATTTGTTTGAGCATATATATAATTATATATATATATACATATGTATTTATATAAGGTATAACCTAAAACTATGCTGTTGGATGATAATTTCCCCATGAAATACCAATTGTATTGGTAGCCCAAAGTTAAGACAAACCCAACTGATTGTGCTTCAAATTTCCGTGAGTTCGCCAGGCTATGTTAACGTGGCTGTCGCCAGAAAAAGCGGTTCCTGCCTGTGTCAGGGGGATGATTTCGAAAGAGTGATGGTGATTTGACATCATCATGGAGCATGAAGGGGCCTATACTGTCTCTATGTGTGCATATGTATATATATATATACATTGTACAAATATATGTATATATATATATTAATTATACATATTATACGCATATATTCAAACAACAACAACAACAACAACAACAAACAACAACAAACAACAACAAACAACAACAAACAACAACAACAACAACAACGCATAACATACGCGACATAATCTGAACAACAAGTTGTTGACAAACATATACAAACACACATTTTGGAGATTTAATTCATACTTGGGCCGGTGGTTCAATCGATTTGCACATCTTGTAGTTTGATTTAAACCATCAACCAGGGCGGTTGTTGGCATTCTGATTGGGAGTAAGATTTTGATCTGGTTGATTGCACTGAAAATTCCTCCATAGTTTACAACATTCCCAACATTTTTGGTACCCTCTGGTAAACATACAAAAAGCTATTGAAAATGGCCCAGTCGAAATAGTGGATTTTCCCATGAAACATGGTGGATCTTTCCATCGTTTTTTGTATGTTTACCAGAGGGTAGATGTCAAAATTCTGATGCCAGCCAGCCTTCACCAGGCGATCAACAAGTCCCTGTTCACCCTTGGGCAGGCGGCCTTGGGAAGACCATGGGGAATATGATGGGATAGAAGCAGCACTTTCCTGACATGGACCATAAAATATGGCTTAAATGCTAGTTGAATGGATATGCCTTGGAAAGCCTACAGATAGTCTGCTTGGACTATCTGTGAATCCTGTGAAAAACAGCCAAGGTTTGCCTGACGAAAGAGTGGATCTCTTGACGGAAATTATGTTCTCTTGGAATCGCTTGAAGGCTTATACCAGAGATGTTCAGACATTCTTGGAGGTTCCAGTCATACTGAGCATGGAATGTTCCCAACTTGTGAAGATCCTTCATATGGGTATCATGTGAGTTCATAATGCATCCACTGATGTTTGCTTTTGTTTTTAGCCCATACTACCAGCTTGATTCGCACCCCCTGTTGATCCTGTTGCAACGATCGTTGCTCAATGTCCTCAAGCCTTGATTTGGATGTGTTGCTCCAATTGTTTTTTTGTTAGTAAATCCCAAGTCGTATTCCTTAATAGTATTATGCAGAATGAATATCCAACTGTTACTGGTTTCAAAACTGATAATTCCGATAGATGTAATTCTAGTTTCCAAATTTAGTTTTTCAATCCACCAGGTGTTCATCATTTACCCTTTGGTAAACTAACATAGCTATTGAAAATGGCCATAGAAATAGTGGATTTTCCCATGAACAATGGTGATTTTCCATAGTTATGTAACAGTTTACCAGAGGGTAAAAACATCTTACAAAGAACAAAAACGAGGAGTTGGCCACGCGCGGCCCGCCCCGCCCAAGGGGATCCCGGTTTCAGGTGATCTCCCAACTCTCCCAAGGACGCCCTGAGAGGCGCGTGTCGTCGTTTTTTTAAGCTCCAAATCCATTGGGGAAACGTGGAAAATCAAAAAAGGGCAAACTTTAGGGGCAGAAACAAAACATCATTTTCGGACACCATAGATGGAAAATCTTATTATTAAAATCGATGATTTGGAGGTACCCCCATTTCAGGAAACCTCCAATGTATATATATATATATATGGCTAAATTTCATCACGACCGAGCCCTGTTCTCCCTCAGTGGAATCGTTTTCTGAGGATTCGGGGAATTATCCCAATATTTTGTCCAGAGTAATGGGCAAACTTTCGGGGACAAAACACACAATTTTTGAGGACACATCCATATGTACCAATTGATTGTTGTAGATTGGTTCTTGTATATAGAATTTCTATGAATTTCTGTTATGTTCATGAATATTTTGCATGTTTATTTTTAATTTATTTTTTTTGTTTAATACTGAGTGGATGGGATCATATCGAAAAAAATTGGATTTCATGAATGTGAAAGCACCAATCAGCTGATCCATGATATCCCACTTCAAAAAAACTATGTCTCACTATATCCAGGAAAATCATATCTCCCAGATAGGAATAATATACCAATTGAGATGTAATGGAATACAATTGGATATTAGTGTAGGTTTATTTTTATTCTATCTCATACAAGCTCAGGATTGGGCAACAGCCCAGGTACGATAATGTGTGGATAATGAAATAGGGAGGGATAATTTTAAGAGGACCATATTATTGCGGATGAACTGCAGGAAATTTGGTCAGTCGAATGTGTCACATATGTGTTATGTCCCTATCAAACCACCTGATCTAATAATGTCGTTTTGTATGTCCAACCGTCTAACCCAGATTTCTCATGGCCTTATTGTCAATATTTGTTTCAATCACCCCAGATAAATGATGGAATCTCACCTGTCAATCTGAGTTATCACGGATATCCCATGATACCCCGTGGTGAAGTTTAACCCCATGGGCCCCATGGGCTTCTCTACGTACGCGTTCTGGCTACACGCCAGGCATGTACCCTACAGGAATTCCAAGTTGACGCAGCTCCTACAGGCGCAGCGTCTTGGAAAAACCTCTACCTGGTGTCACTTCAGGTGATTTTTGATGGTCTAATCGAAAAAACACCCAGCCCAATCACTATATATTGTGTGTCACACGACATTGTGATATCACGACATATCGTGTGACCATAAATTTAAGATTGTCTGTAGATATGATGTGCGTTTTTTTGTTCAAACCACTGTTCTCAGTAAGCCTGCGGGTTTGTAATTTGCAATGGAACATGGTCATCAACTCAGCCAGAATGCCGGTGATGCCGGTCATGGCCTAGTGCCTCAATTCCGACGCCAAAGAAACATGGACATACTACTTCAATCTACTTCACCATCTTTGCACTGTACACTTAAAAGTTGTGATATTGAACGTCCTTAGAAGTTTGCCCATTTTTTGGTGTCACTTCACTATTCGCGCCATGTTTGAAATGTGCTGGAAAACAACGCCCCTATGGCTGAATGTGTCCGATTCAAACGTTGCAGACGCGTTGGGTCGTTTTGTGTGTTTTCTCAAGATGAAAACCATGATATCATGATTACTTTGTTTTAATCCATGTCATAAGATCATAAAATATCACAACATTAGATGGCCCACATCGATGGCGCTCATCTTGGCTGCTCCAAGCCCTACGTTTCCAAACTCTGTGGCAAGTGCAGGACAGCTTCGGAGGGTCAGCGCTATGTCTCATGGTGCCCTGGAGCTGAGATTCCATCAGGAGGTACCAGCGACAATGATCAAACAAGCCAGTTAAACAAGTGATGTGTTCATTTGATCAATCATACCGACCTCAAACACCCTCACCAAATGATGTTGAAACCAATATATAATATATAGCATGATATTGCATGATATGTGTTCTTACTTTGTGTGAAAGCAAGTTTGGGCTTTTGTTATGGACCGTCCAAAATGCATGCAATATTGACAAACCAAATGAGGGGATCACTACGTTGTACACAATCAAACATGTACGAGGAACTGACAAGATCATATTATGCTACCCTACTACTATAAAGCAATCAAACTCTCATATTGGTTGCCATATCTTGCAACATTGGATCGGAAGGGATCCCAACTCGTCAGACAGAGTCGGTAGAGATGATTACCATGTTTTCAGACACACCCAAGTATCAGTACGGTAACGTAGAAGCACCATATGTATTGTAACCCCCTACAAACCATCAACCTGTGACCATCTAAATCTACATGTATATTTCTAAAATTATATATAATATGTATTGTAAGAGCAAACACCAACGCAGTGTTATAATGTCTATACCCCGATGAATTTCTTGTCGTCACATTCAATTTACATATTAATATTCACATCCTCCATTGATGCCCGTCAGCAACCTATAGTAACCCCCAATCACTTGAACCGTTAACACTTCACCTGAAATAGGGGTCTTGAGCCTATCGGGTTTATGGGGAGTTAAGACATGAGCCGCAATTAGCAGGATGCCTATTATTGTAAGAGGAATACCTATGAACATCTATGAGCCAACCAGACAAGGCTTTGCACTAATTGGGAGCTATACAACCACAGTTGTATGGCTATTCTAATTGGAGGTTAGTTAAAATCCCCCAGGAAAGTCACCACTCGTCACCACATTTGCCGCCCCTTTTTGCCGCCCCGCATCTCGCACCAATCAGGTCACCTGCATCTCGCCCCCCTCAGCCTTTGCTGAAGAGACAGTGAACTCTCTGAACTATGCGCAGAAGGCGGGCCGGCTCGAACGGTGCCTGGAAAGGGTCGAAAGAGGTGGTCACCAAGGATAAAGGATAGGTAGAATGGATTAGTAAGGGACAATTAACATGGGATATGGCATATAACGGACATGTTCTTAATCTAAGATTTTTCATTCGCGACATTAAGCAACCAGATGGGATATGAGGGTCTGACTATAGGGCCCATAAAATATGGTCATGAATAGGGAAAATGATGATTCACCAATGGATTTAGAAGTAGCCTATTTTCAGACAAAGTCACGTGGGTGCTTCAGCACCCTAAGTTTAATGCAGTTCATCATTCCCCAGGGGAGCAAATCCATTGAGGACTCGAGCAGCTTGCTGATGATCCCTGTGGATATTTCCAGCACTGTTACGAGACTCCCAAGGGCAAGACGAGCTGAAGAGCTGATACTTTGAGGATTGACCTATGGAAAAAACATGTGTTTTCCATAGCTTTGTTGATTTTATCAGAGGGTAAATAGCTAGATCAGAACGGTTTCAGTATGTTTCAGTTTTCAGAGTGGTGGACCAGTCACAAAACTCCTTTCCGATTGGTTGGGTCCCACTCATGCCAACTCGAGACTAAAACCCTGGTTAGATTTGCAAGATCAGGAGTTTAACCAAAGAAAGTGATATGATTTTGATTATATTTTAATCATTCACTAAGGAACCACAAAGACGACCGAAAAGACACCTCACCAATTTTTCTGGATTTCGCCCCTCGGTGAGGCCATGAATATCCAAAACACGCCCATCTTGCAGCTGGACGTCCGAGACTCAGTGGGGGCGGCGTTGCGGGCAGCTGGGCGTTGATATTTTTTGATGAAGGACGTGTTTGATGCCAAATAAACCAGGCAGCATAGGCAACTAAGATTTGATTCTACAGACATTGTCTACAAAATGTGACTAGACAGGGTGCACAGCGACATTTTGATGAATTTTTGCATGCTTCTACTTCATCTGATTTCCGACACTAATCCGGAAAATCAATTCCTTTTGACAATTATATATAATCATTATAAGGGGCATAGACAAATGCAGGTTTGCCCCCTGGTTCACCAATTTACACCCCTTGTACCCCTAAATTCCCTAAAGTAGGGCCCCCTAGTTTTTAGTGAATGTGTCAAATGTTAAAAGCTCCATGTATGGAATATGTACCAACATTTACCCATAAATGACCCAGTCATATAGGTAAATATACCAGCACCATGGAGCATATGGGAATGTTATAAGCCCTAAGTACTATAGTTGCCATAGTTATCCAAACTGTTATCCCAGTGATTTGCCGCCCGTTTTCCTACGATTTTAACTAGGTTTTCCTATGATTTTCTAGGTTTCCTATGTTATCCCAGTGATTTACCATCGTTTTCCTAGGTTTTCCTATGTTATCCCAGTGATTTACCATCATTTTCCTATGGTTTCCTAGGTTTTCCTATGTTATCCCAGGGTTTTTTCCAATGTTATCCCAACGAATCTCCCTTTTTAAACAACGGCTTTCTCGCAGGAGCAGCAGCGTGTTCTCTTGGACCTGCGTTCGGAGAATGCCCAGCTGCGACGTGAGTTCCGGGGCGACGCGGAGTGATTTTTTTGCGGAGTTTCCAGCACATTAATGGGATTTAATGGTTAATATATGGTAACTAATGGATTAACCATTAACCATGTATATATCCATATATTATCCAGTATAACCATTAATAATTAACTAATGGGCTTTTCCATGGTTAATAATGGTTAATAATGGTTAGTATATGGTAATAATCATTAATGATGGTGAACCATGGTTATATATGATGGTTAATATATGGTTAATATATGGTTAATGATGGTTAATATTGATATATGGTAATAATGATGGTTAATAGCTGGGTGATTACCATGGTTAATGATGGTTAATATATGGTTAATAATGGTTAGTATATGGTAATCATCATTAATAATGATGGTTAATATATGGTAATAATGATGGTTAATACCTGGGTGATTATCATGGTTAATAATGGTTAGTATATGGTAATAATCATTAATAATGATGGTTAATATATGGTCATAATGATGGTTAATACCTGGGTGATGAAACCATGGTTAATGATGCTTGATGATGGTTAATAGTGGCTAATAGTGGTTAATTATCTGGTTAATTATTAGAACGACAGGTAGACACTGGTTGGTGGTTTGGAACAGCCATGATGGTGGTTAATCATCATTAATAATGGTTAATAATGGTTAATGAGATATACTGGTTGGTGGTGACTGGAACATATGGAATTTGATGACTTTCCCGATCATATTGGGAATGGAATTTCATCATCCCAACTGACGAGTATATTTTTCAGAGGGGTAGGTATACCACCAACCAGAAACTTATAAAACAAAATAAACACAAACATATTATAATATATACAATATATATATATAAACGACTGGGAGATAATGACAAAAACATATAAAAATAATGATGATAAATATGATAGATAAATAACGACATATAATTATGATAGATGGATAATGATAGATAATGATGTATAGATAGTGAATGATGGATCATTTTTTTTGGCGTATTTAAATATCTAGTTTTGGATTTTTTTTTCTAACCGTAAAACAACAATACATTCGGTATTTTGACATGGCGTCCGAAAATGGCCCATAGAAACAAAGGATTAACCTACTTCTATTAAATTGATTAAAGATGATGTGACGTTGTTGTTTTCCATAGCTATATCATGGATGTTTCGTAAGTCACTTTGTGGAATCACCCAGTCTCAAACCTTGGCAAACCTAACTTTCATAATCCAGTGGTACCTCTTCATGTTTCTGCCAAACAGGGTACCCTAAAGTCCAATTGTTGATTATGATGTGTCTGTTGAAATGGGATGTTTGGGTGTATATCCAACTTTCAGTCACACCCAATAAATTACATGTTGTTTTTTGCTGAGATATTCATCAGACTTATCATGCTAAAATTAATTAGCCATTATATGAATATCACGTTCCAGATTATGCAGGGTATCCTTTATACAGTAGCATACACGTGTATGTATATATATATAAATTAAACTAAATATATCTATATATATATATATGGTTCTATAGGAATACATATCTGTCCATCAACCATCCTTCGCCATGCCCAGGTTGCAGGGCTACAAGCACCGCTTCGGCGTCACTTGCACCTGCAGAGATCCAACTGGTCCCTCAGTACAGGTTGGTTGATGGTTAATAGTGGCAAACAATCATTAACAATCCCATAGGATCCATGTATGCTATATATGGTAACATTTACCATCAATATACCCCCAATGTTAGCATATATCCAATACATGGATCCTATGGGAATGGTGACTAAGAATGATTATCAATGGTGATTTTTTTTAGCTGACAATGATGGTGATTAATGAATGGTTGATAATGATTTTGCTCTCAGTAATGTCAATAGTTGTGATGATTGGTTGTTGATGGATGTTGCTCTCTGGTAATCAAACATGGCTGCGATCTTCTGTGAGAATTTTCATGGGAACATCATTGAACTAAATGAATAATTTGTCAGTACCATACTTGATCACCAGATTCTTATGGTAGATGCTTAACCCAATAAGACATAGAACAGCAAAGTATGATTCAAACGTTAAACGCACGTGTCTATTTTTTGCGGGTTGCAGGAAAAAAAATATATATAATTATATATATATGTGTGTTTGGATTTTGGGGTTGGTATCGATTATATGTTTCGGATTGTTTCGGTATATTATATATATATAGCTTTATATTCCACAACATACCCTCTGGTAAACATACACAAAACTATGGGAAATCACATTTTTTTAATAGAGAAATCAACTATTTCTATGGCCATTTTCAAGCGCGCAAACTGTAAGAAATTACCAGAGGGTATCCCCAAATCTCCTGATGTCGGTGAAATCCTGGGTTCGTTGAATCCAATGATATCTGAAAAATCCCCAGGATCTCCCTGCTATCTCCTCTGTATATATTTAGTACATAGTAGAGATATTCCTATTTACATACTTATTTCTATGTATATATATATATATTCCCACAACATACAAAGAATCACATACATATATATGTATATTATGTGTATATATATATATGTATTTTTCCACAACATAGAAATATATTTGTACACATGTATGTAATATATCCCACATAGATATCCGCGAACCAGGCCTTGGAGGGTGGCTATGCAGAGGCCGAGTCATCCAACGGGGGTGTTCAAACGTGACAAGCCATGTGGCTGATTCCCGGAAGCTCATAACACTATGAAATACATGGGAATGCGATATGTTCATGGGAATAGAGACAAAACTGATATGGGAATAGACCAAGTTGTATGCAATATTTAGAATATGTATATTATATGTGTATATATATATATATTACATTTACATGAACTACTGAAAGGCCCCAGAAAAATATGAACCCACCATTCCGGGTCGCCCAGGACGCAGGCCCCACCCGGGGCGGCCCTACAGCCTCAGTGGATGTAGGCCATTGTTTGGGGGGGAGCCAATACAGATATATATTTACAACATTTTACAACATATGCATACTATGAACATTTATACGATCATGCGCTTTCCCATTTTTTTGGCGGGGGAGGGAGGTGGTTAGTACAATCTATAATAATCTATATATATATATATTTAGAGACATATATATATATATATTATGTATATGTCAATATGTGTGGAACCAACATATTGGGATACTGTATGGTTATTGTCGATTGCATATTTCGGATGCAATCGGATTACATCTAAGCAAAACTGTCATCGGAACAATCATCGGGATATGACGGGTAATGAGATGTATAACCAACAACGTGGGGATATGACGGGGACATACATGTATATAATGGGGATGTGATATCATGTAATTGGGATATAAGTACAACATGTGTTTGTTTAAACAATAGTATTTCTTCATCAACAAATAAATGAAACATATTGTTCAAACAACATTAGAACTATTTGTGTATTTGTTTTATTTCGTCACGCTTTTTTAATAAGACATGGCAATGGAACGTATTTGATTACATCTGATTTTCCCATCTATAAACCTCTATTTAAGGGAGGTTTTTCTTATATTTTCCTATATATTGTCCTATGATTTTCCCCTATTCCATTTTTGTTTCAGGTATTTTTCCCAAGATCTTTCCATATTTACCTAGGTTTTTCCACATTTCACAGGGGTTTTCCTAGGTTTTTCCACATTTCACAGGGGCTTGGATCCAACCCGCCAGCGTTTCTTGGCGTCCAGGCGATCTGCGCGCCACGCCTTTTTCGAAGGCTTCCCCAAGGGGCCACAGTTTGCCGCCCGACTTCTCGCCGCAGGCCGGCGCTGGGGGAAAATCTCTACCCGGCCTGGTTATGTCTGGTTTAATGGTTGTTTTTCATGGGATAAAAAACCAACAAACATGGTGATTTCTAGATGGGATTTACCATCTTGTTACAGTTTGCGAACTTGAGAATGGCCATAGAAAGTTCGTGGATTTTCCCAGCTAGATAGCATGGTGATTTTCCATAGTTATGTTAGTTTACCAGAGGGTATTTGTTAGCTGGAAAAGATAGCTTTGGTAATTTGTTTAGCTATGGAACATCTGGATTTTGACGATTTGTATGTCTGATTTTAACGGGCTTCAATGGATTTTCCACATCTATGTTACCCTCTGGTAATTTAACAGTTTGCTATTGAAAATTGCCATTTAGTTTGTTGATTTACCATGAAAACATGTGATTGTCCATGGTCATGTTAGTTTACCGTAATGGGGATGGTAATGTGGGTAAAACAATGATAAACCATCCCCAATTTTACCATAAATAGGTGGTATAAACCATTCCCAAGTGGTTTATGTTTGTTTTCACTGCATAAAAAATTGTTTAGCTATGGAAAATCTGGATGTTGACGACCAATGAATGCCTGATTTTAATGGACCTGAATGGATTTTCATGGGGATGGGGGAGATTAATGATGCAGGTGGCCGGAGGACGGGAGAGTTTTAGGCTACATGGTTCTGATATGTTCTGATCATATGTTTGAATAGTTGAATAGTTTTAGTTGACATCATTATGTGGTTGGTGGTTTGGAACATTTGGATTATTTTTCCCTGCGTTGGGAAGAATCATCCCAACTGACGAAGTCATATTTTTCAGAGAGATTGAAACCACCAACCAGATTATGTTGTTGGTTGCACTATTTACAGTGGCTACTGAAAGCAGTGGCAGGATATCCAAGATTGGCATAGATGGGCCATGAAAACATGCAGATAGAATGCAGGACTTCCAACAGATGTACAGGAAGATCATACGGGAAACATACACCGCACACAAAACTGAGAATGGTGCATTTACCCTCTGGTAAACTAACATAGCTGTTGAGAATCACCATTTTGAATAGGTAAATCAACGAACTAAATGAGGTATGTTCAATAGCAAACTGTTAAATTACCAGAGGGTATGCCCTTTATGCCCATAGTTATTGTTCAACACGTGACCGAAATGTGGGACCTGCAGGCACCTGAGACGTATCGCCCGCCACTACCCAGTGCGGCCACCCGGAAACGGTGTTTCACCAGCAGCAACAACTGGGCGGTTTTAGCAAGAAACATATGGGATATAACATGATATAACCGTTTATGGTGGATATGATATAAAATGATATACTGTAACTATAGTCACTGGCTTCATAAACGAACAAACATTGAGAATATTGATACAACCAGCATTTCAATTGGATATTTTACTAAGCATGATGGGGTTGCATTCTGGTAAATTACATGTAGTCTCTAAAGATGTACTGTAGGTATTAACAATGATGAATAATGATATATATATATATATATAATGTATATATATATATAATCGGGATAAGTGTGATTAAACATCAGCAATAGGGATCAATCAACAAACACCGTTCATTTTTACCAAGGAAACCTCGCAGCGGTAGTTTCAGACAGCTTAGTTTTTGGTAATTTTGATTGGAGATTTAAATCAGTTGTAGCTGGGGAAGTGGGATAGGTTCAAACTCAGCCAGAGGTCATGTTTTTGCTGGTAGTGTATAGTCTTCAAAAAGTATGTATACCTCTCAAGAGTGGATATGCCAAAGATTCAGATGGGAGACTGAAGTAGTTGTTTATGTGGCCCTGAAGATGGGAACTAGCAACCTGAATATTTGATGTTCATTACTCATCTTCACATTGCTGGCTGTTTCCAATTTCCGATGTTCCTTCCAAATTTAATACCCTCTGGTTACGACTAACATAGCCATGGAAGCCATGGCCCATAGAAATAGATGGTTTACCGTTCTTAAAAATGGTGATTTTCCATGGCAAACTGTTAGTCATAACCAGATGGTAATGTGTTCATAGTTGATCAACATGTCCACCATGTTCAGTCCAACTTCCGGCAAAACAGACTGTGGTAAGCGGTTAGTCGGCTGCATCGTAAAGCTGTCAAATCTCGCAATTGAAGAGGGTTTGCTTGGGGCACCTTCCATTTATTTACAACCAATCTACAGTCCCTGTACCCAATGGTTAGGAGGGAGCAATTCGGAGCTATGGGTATTCATTGTTACATAGATTTTTTACCTATATTTTGAATGGGAAGCCAGTTGAAGCACGAATCGAGTTTCCAAACCACACGATAGCAGTAAATCAATGACGAGAGATATACCCTCTGGTTATGACTAACAGTTCGCAATGGAAGCCATGGCCCATAGAAATAGATGATTTTCCCAGCTAGAAACCTCCATTTATAAGGGATTTTCCATGGCTATGCGAGTCATAACCAGATGGTAGTATGATATACTGGATTAGTTCCTAAGATCCTTTGGTTTTCACGGCATTCCAATCATTTCGAATCAGTCAATCCCAGTCGTCACAGAATCATCGCCTTTTTGCGGTGCGGATTCCGTAATACTGGTTGATTCTAATATATTTACTACTGACTTTTACTATACATCGCATATGTTTACATGGTATACTATAGTATGATGATATGATGTGTTTACTACCTATATTGGCAATTTTCCGCTGATTCAAATATGTATGTATCGCACTATCATTGTCATTGTTGTTGCACGACCTATCATGTGTATACATATATCGTTGTTATTCTGATTATTCCCTATGATATTATTTATGTGTGTGTGTTCAATGATTGTTATAGTAATAAGGATATTCATCAACATTATAACACTTATTGAACACACACCTCAATACTGTAACAGTGGATACTATTTAATGAACATTATATGAATATTTGGGGAGGTACCATCCTCTAAAACTCAGATGCGGAGTTTACCCACCATGGTGCCGCTGGAACTTGAGGTGCCGTGGCCTCTCCCAATTCTGCCCGCAGTGGATCACGGGAGGCCTCGAACAGTATCAAAATATGTTGGGGTAACATCCAAGGTGCAGCTACAATTTCACGTGCTTCCATGGAATAAAATGATAAGTCACGGAATTATGATGCGGGTTGGTGGTTTGGAACATTTTTTATTTTTCCATATATTGGGAAGAATAATCCCAACTGACTAATATTTTTCAGAGGGGTTGAAACCACCAACCAGACGATGTGTTCAGAATATTGACCAGATGAATGACCTTTGAGTCTGAGCTATAGAAATCTTGTTTTTTACACCGTCCTTTGGTAATCGACTGTACCCATGGAGAGTCCCAGATGCAAGGCGCAGCTTCGTGGCTCACCCCGACCAGCCAAGTCCTGAACGTGTTTTCAATCCAGCAGTTGTCTCTGGTTGGAGCCCTTCAAGTAGCCACATCCCCAAACGGTATACATCAGTCATTAGCCGTATCAAGGCTATATCCACCAATTTTGCTGAACCACCCCCTCAACATTGATGAATTGCATCCCCAATTTTTGTTTCGTGTATATTATTATAACTTAATGCAACTATTATATATATACATATCATGTACAGTAAACAGAATGTCTATTTGTATACGACATTGCATCACAACATATAAACCACACAGACCTAATGTAACTATTATACATACATATATTATGTACAGTACATAGAATCACAACATATAAACCATACACATCAAAGCGTTTTTGTGTCTCATGTCGGGCTACGACACCATCTTTGGCGAATGGGCTTAAAGTTCCTGGCCAAGGGCGCGAAGGACGATGCCCTTTTGGCCGAGTTTGTTGTTCAGTGCCCAACGAAGGTACGTTTAAAATGGGAAGGTCACCAACGAACATTGCATTTAACATTGTACAAATGGTGGTTAATGGTGGTTAATAATGGTTAATGAGATATTATATACTGGTTACATTGTACAAATGGTAGATATATCTATAGTAAATGGAATATGTTCTGGAATATCAATGGAATATGTCAATCAACGAACATTATTTGGTTGGTGGTTTGGAACATTTGGATTATTTCTCCATAATCTGTGGGAAGAATCATCCCAACTGACGAACTCATATTTTTCAGAGGGGTTGAAACCACCAAGTGGATTTATTTATCATTCTACAAATGGTTGATACCACATATGAATGAAAGTTGATTTAGTCCAAATGGCTGATACCACATGATATATATATATATATTGACATGGGAATGTTTCGATATAATATAATATAAATATAATATAATATGTGGTAAGCCCAATTTCATAAACGTATCACTTAGGGATGGCTGATGCCACCCATAAAAATCAGATATAATGGCATATCATGTTTTTTTTTTGTGATATCTATTCTGGTTGACTTCTGTTGCTATTTGGGAACTCAATGTCATACCCAAGATGACTCTTCCATACTCTTGCAAGCTGTTCCAAACTCTTCCATACTGTTCCATACTCTTCCAAGACGGTATAAATGATCAATGGGAATTCCAGGATCCTAAAATGGAGGTACTGTACCATATAAGGCCATATTTTGTGGGGATATTTCCTTACATAGGCCTAAAAAATAGGCCAAACATATATGGAATCGGTACCTCCGTCCTCAATCGGTTCCTGGCCAGCATGGCCATCGAAATGATGGGGGAATCGTCCCTACCTTGATCCATCCCATCCGACGGAGATTTGAGGTCAAACACCAGGGAGCCACTCACGCCTGTGTGGTCTGTGTACTTCTCTACGCCACGATGCTGGCGCTGGGCACAGGCAGCCGATCCTTTAAGGGATGGGTCACAACCAAGGACCCGCAAGGACCCGCTGACCCTGAGGGCAGGTCAACACAATAAACAACAATCAGTAAAATGTCTGGTCATCTAAGTTCATAACAACAATCAATACAGATGAAGTATGATGTATGTTAACCAATCTAACATTCTAAGAATCTGTATGTTCATCTGAAGTTCATCTACCACACTTAATTTCAACTGATGTTCATGATATGATACGAATCTTCAGCAAACAATGTTTGGCTCGGTTTCGGTCTTCCGACGCGTTGCATATCTCCACAACCATGGGGTGGATGGTGGACGACCATCCTTTCACTTTCTGTATTGGGATATATTGGGATGGAACATAAAAGGCCATGATACCCTCTGGTAATTTGTTACATTGCTATTGAAAAAAATCCATTTATAGTGAGTTTTCCCATGAATAGCATGGTGATTGTCCAGTTCGTTATGTAAACGTTTACCAGGCCGGCTATTTTGATGTTCACCTGATTACTTCCCAGTCGTGCCTGGATTTATGGGACTCCAGCTGTCATTTTTTAATGATGTTGTTTGGTGCTGATGTACTACAGCCCCTTACCCTCTGGTGAACTAACATAGCAATTGAAAATGGCCATTTTATAGTGGATTTTCCAATTAAAAATGGGGATTTTCCATTGTTATGTTTGTTTACCAGAGGGTACATCCTCAAAATTCATGGTTTGCTGAATTCCAGTGTTTGTTGAATTTCTGCCCTTGCTGGGGATTTCATGTAAAATCCCATGATTAGATGCTACAGCATTCCTATTGCTCGAGTTTGGGGGGAGAAAACATATGTCTTTTGTCAAACAGATTTGTTCAATCCCATATTTCTTTTCTTGGAGAAATAGAACCACTGTACATATTCACGATCTACCCAGTATTGTTCTGACAAGTTATGGGATAAATGGGATGAAGCACCCTTTATCCACTGTACATTCTTTGGTTTTATCCCAGTATTTCCAGAACAATCCAATGACAAATCCTGAATGCTGGCTGTACAAATCGTGGCGCTGGCTGCTGGAATCCTCATAAATCGTCATGATGTATGCCCTATTTGAATCACTGACGATATGGGCCTACTTATATCTACTTGTATCATATAAATTATATTAAATTATATTGAATAATTTAGAATAATATATAGATATGATATATGAACAGGAAAAGCAGCATCCCTTTTCTCTCGACAGGTGTGGATCGATTGCTGGCTGGTGATCTTCTACTGCCCGAGGGCATGAAAGCCTGGGCGGCCGCGTTGTTGGCTTATTGGAGATCCTTGCCAGAACATGGCCCATCATGGGAATTGTACCCATCAACATGGTAAAAAATCCAATAGGAACATCGAAATTTTGCCCAAGAGGCATCTTCGAATCGAAGTTGAGAAACATCTGTAAACAATTGTAAACATATACACCTTTACTATCCTTTACTTCCCAGCACATCATGTAACGAATATCCACACAAAACAGCTCAGCAAGCCCAGGTTGGTTGGTTCTCTTACGACTTCGTTCCGTGGCAAAGACTTGGTGCTGTCAAAGGATGTACCCTCTGGTAAACTAACATAGCTATGGAAAATCACTATTTTTAATGGGTAAATCCACTATTTCTATGGCAATGTTCAATAGCTATTTTGACATAACCAGAGGGTACTTGTAGGGAAAACTAATGAAAACTATGCCATAATCCATATGCTCCATGTATGGTATATTTAAGTGGAGATGTTTAGGGCAAATGTTGGTAAATATTCCAGCACCATGGAGCATATGGGTAATAGCAAAAGGGTAGAAGATTCTTGACTTGGATTAATTACACAACAACTATCAGGAACCTGATGGGGGGTCCTTGATCCTTTCAAACATAATACTGTACTGTAATCCTTGAACATCTACAATAGATCTTTAGAGATATCGTGACGCTTCCCTGAACCACTGCGGAAAAACACAAAAGCCATGGCAGGCATGCCGGGAAATGTGTGGTTGTAAGTTTGCCCGTTAAAAATATAGTTTTCGTATTCAAGCCTCAAGATCTTTGATTGATATATTATAGACCATCCCGCCAACTAACATAAACCCTGCCAAATAGGGGGTTGGAAGATTAGATTCCACAAAAAGCATATTATCTTCAGGGTCTATGTTGATTCACTGAAGGGTCAAAGGCAGTGCCCCAGTTACAACCAGCTATGGTACTAGACTAACGGAGCACCACCCTGTAATCATTAGCAATGATTATCAATAGTATCTATATTAATCTCCATTATTGATACATGATTTTAATTGTGCAGTGTTCATGTTCAGCAAGAATCAGTGGATTATATCATGATGGTCATTGATACTATCATAGAATATTGGAGTAGTTCCCATGATGTACAACCATTAGTAACAATCACAAAGTGATATACTAATCATGGGAACTGCAGTATATTATTCTGTATTATATAGTACTAATTATCCATTATTGGTACATTAGAATATCCTATGTTGAATGTACTAATCATTGTATACATTGGATTATAAATTATAATGATTACCCTCTGGTGAATAAACATAGACCCTGAAAATCACCAATTTTTAATGGAAACTAGTCTTCCAACCCCGATGACTGCCAGGGTCTATGTTAATTTACCAGAGGGTATTAATTCTAGTATCCAATGAAATTCCACATCCAAGTGAGGGACCATTCCTTGGGAGATCTTGAAAATGGGATATCCCAGGGAAAGGAAGGCCAGGAATCTACAGAAAACTTGGTGTTTTTTTTTGGAGACTTATTTGACTGGTATAGTGCTATACAACTATTGATAAACCAACTAAATATCAATATCATATATATATATATGTATATACATGCAGTATATATATATATATATGTACAGTATATATATAATTGTATATAGAGTGTGTATATACTGTATATAATCAACTAATACAGTAGCTATTCAAACTGACTTGACTAGAGTATCCATATCAATATATATAATGTGTTTTTTGCTTCAGCCCATGACTGGACAACGTCATTTCATCATCTCAGGCTGCGAGACCGGCAGCGTGGCAGCAGACATCTATCAGCAACTCGCTGGCGTTTCACGGTGAAATCATGATGGAAACCGTGGAGATGGACCATGAAACATATTGAACACATATGAATCCATAGAAATAGATTGTTTACCTATTATAAATGGTGATTTTCCATGGCTATGTTAAACCAACTTAGATATCTTGGGGGCCCACATTGTATTGAACACATGAGGATTTCATCCTTGATGCTATACATGCTATACAGTTCTCCAGAGCTGTTTTTTTTGGCATGTGTTTTTGTTGGTTTGATGCGACTCGCAATATATTTGAATCTTCTGAATCAAATTCAAACTGGTGTCACAATAAAAATGCAGAGAGACAACTCTAAATGTTGCTTCAGAGGAACCCATCCAATCCACTGCATATTTCAGATTCTTTGATTATATGATTGGATAACTCCATAATTCAGATATATTCAGATTATAATCATAGATCATGTTGTTCAACTTTTTAATTCTTCCTTTTTCCCTTTGTTTTAACCCAAAAATCAACGTGATTTTAGTTCGTAGTTTGACAGAATCATTCGTGATTCGATTTCTTGGGGGCTTGGGGATGGGTCCCAAGGCTCATGTTTTCCTGCAACTTTTCGATGCCAATGGCCGCAGCGGATTCTTGGAGCATGGCGAGCATGGCGAGCCGGCGAGCTGCTGGTGCTATTTTAACAAAAACTATACGCTATATGATTTGGGTATGAGTCAATACCTATAGATACATTTTTAGTGGGATGAACATCCATTTACCAGCTATTTTGGGGTTCACTAGGTACCAGGGTTTTGACCCATCCCCATATGATTTGAGTGACACAGCTGTAAAACTCTTAAATCGCTGATTTCACCTTCAGAAACTGGAAGCGATTACTGAGATACACTGGGATTGCCCCTGGGATCTATGTCATGATTCGCTACTTTTTGGTACGATTTTGTGACGATGCGGTCAGACGGAAAGACGGATATTGTACAAGGTGGTCCCCCCCAGTTATAAGTTGGTTTATAATCCCCATTAACTCTAGATATAGCCCTCATAAACCCTAGATATTGGACTTATAAACCAATTTAGCTAACTATGGGGCACCACCTTGTAGCATTGTAGCATATTGTTCAGCATGAGGCCAACAGTTCATGTGTATTGGTTCAGCTGTTCAGCCAAATGATGTCTGGGACACTTCAGGCAATAGAGGGATTCCATGATACACATATAATATATATCTGTATAATTCTGTATACATAGATGACATAGGTGTTTCGGTCTATGACACATCACCTTTGGTTTAGTTGATGTTTAGTGCCCTTTGACCATATAATCCAAAACCAGGGCGGCGGCAAACGTCAGGCCATTCTTTTACGAAGACCCGTGTTGCTGTGTGCACAAGGGATCCTCGGCAGCGATGGAACTGTTGAGCAAAAACCGTGCAAAAACTATAGTCTAGTGAAGCAACTGCGCCAAGGCCAAATTACTGAGGTTTTTTTTGTTTTATTCATGATTTGGCTACAAGCCTCACGTTCATTGTGTTGTTTTAGTTTGCTGGTCTTCAGTAGGTTCCATTGTTTTCATGATAGAAGGCAGAAAGTGCCGAGCTATTTCTTTGCCAAACAACATGCAATATCATCATGTTCAGGAGGATATTGAAACCTGGTTCCAGAAAAGTGACTGCCGGCCATTCTGGAAGCTCTCATTTGAGGATCTTGGTTGCTATCGATCAAGTCTTATGGTACGTCGATTTGCTCGGTGCCTTGGTTCTGTTCAGAAGATGTTTTGAAGCTGTTCAAGGGCACCGATGAATTTTTGCAGAGAGCACAAACCTGGGCGAGTGACAATATCACCATTCATGATGATGATGATGATGATGGTGATGATGATGATGGTGATGATGGTGATGGTGTTGGTGTTGTTGGTGGTGATGATCATAGTGATTATGATGATGGTGATGATGAATACTACATTAATAGTGATAACATCTTTTTGGGCAACTTACTCCGAATCACATCTTGGATCCCAAGATCAACAATTTTCCACTGGATTAGCACAATGGCAACTCTCAGGAGCATCCAAAATTGCTGGGTTGATGGTGCAGTCGTTGAATGGTGGTTCTTAGAATCATAGAATCCTTATACTTGTACATATCAATCAATCAAATTGGGAGAGAAACCATTCAGTATAGAGCTGGTTCATAACTAACTAACTGGTAACCCATTTTTGTTTGTGGGATAACTCAGTTGTCATGGAGACTTGAAGTCACAAAAAAAAAGTTGTGATAACAGTGACAACCACTTACTCTCTGGGGCATGGATCATGGTCCTCCGCACGGACTTCTGAATTTCTGGTTCTCCGCTCCCAGGATTTCTGGTTCTCGGCAAGCTCCCTGTGAAGGTGGTGGGATACCTCTTGTGGCCGAGCACACCGTCGCACGGCGCGATTGGGGTTGCTATGGGAGATGGCAGAAGTGACAGTAGCCTCTGGTAATTCAATATAACTACCCTCTGGTAAACTAACATAGCTATTGAAAATGACCATTTATAGTGAATTGTCCCATGAAATATGCTGATTTTCCATAGTTATGTTAGTTTACCAGAGGGTAAATGGAATATGGCCCATTTATAGATGATTTACCTATTGAAGAAGAATGAAGAAGACGATTTTACGATTTTCCATAGCTATGTTAAATTACCAGAGGGATCCAGAGGGTAGATGATTCAGCTTCTGAAAAGAATGTGGTTTTCTAGGTCACAAAGTGTCAACAAATTTCCAGAGGGAAGCTGCCGAAAAAAGCCATACCGCAAATTCGGGAAGATTATCCATGAAAGAACAAGTTATTGGAAAACATGATAGCACACCATGAGAAACAAGATTTTGGGGCATCCGATTGTTTGGGAAAGCCACATGACTCTATGTACTTTTGGACAAAACCATATCAGATACCAAACTGGTAGCTCTTGTTAGTAATATGGTTTCCAAACTGGGGAGTTTGAACACACAATTCCTAGTCACCCCCTCCAAATGGAGGTGTTCGGAACTCGATGCACACCGTACCCTCTGGTAATTTAACATGGCTATGGAAAATCACCATTTTCAATGGGTAAATCCACTATACAGTAAATGGCCATTTTCAATAGCTATGTTAGTCATAACCAGAGGGTAATACCGTAGTTGGGTCTGTTTGTTGCTGTGCCACAAACGCTCGAGACGAGCTTCCAAGGCTCTCGCGACGCATTTCCTGCATTCATCACCTGCTTTTTGAACCTTTGGCCCCTTGGCAGTGTACGGAGGCCCTGAGAGACGAGTGGACATGCTGCACATGCTATGTAATGTTAAGCAGTCGGATCCATATAAAGAATCAAATACAGATGGTTTATTATTGCTTTACTATCATTACACATGATGATATATAACATAGACCCGGGCAAGCCGGCGGCGGAAGTTTCCCAAACATAAATGACCTATAGTTCAAAGACAACCTGTCCCGACCGTGTCCTTCCCTCGACACTCCACACCTCACACTTCACACTGCACTCTTCGCACTCCAAACTTCACACTCCACACTTCACACTCCACACTTCTCACTTCTCACTGCTTCCTTCACACTCCAAACCTCACACTTCACACTTCACACTTCGCACTGCACACTTCACACTTCACAGTCCACACTTCACACTTCACACTTCACAGTCCAAACTTCACACTTCACACTTCACAGTCCACACTTCTCACTTCGCACTTCACACTTCACACTTCACACTCCACATTTCACACTTCTCACTTCACACTTCTCACTTCTCACTGCTTCCTTCACACTCCAAACTTCACACTTCTCACTGCGCACTTCACACTCCACACTTCACAGTCCACACTTCACACTTCTCACTTCTCACTGCTTCCTTCCCACTCCAAACTTCACACTCCAAACTTCACACTTCACACTTCTCACTTCGCACTTCACACTCCACACTTCACTCACACTTCAGACTTCACACTTCACACTTCTCGCTGCTTCCTTCACACTCCAAACCTCACACTTCACACTTCACACTTCACACTGCGCTCTTCGCACTCCAAACTGAAACTTCACACTCCACACTTCACACTCCACACTTAACACTTCACACTTCTCACTTCTCACTGCTTCCTTCACACTCCAAACCTCACACTTCACACTTCACACTTCACACTGCGCTCTTCGCACTCCAAACTGAAACTTCACACTCCACACTTCACACTTCACACTTCACAGTCCACACTTCACACTTCTCACTTCTCACTGCTTCCTTCACACTCCAAACCTCACACTTCACACTTCACACTTCACTCACACTTCACACTTCACTCACACTTCACACTTCACACTTCTCATTTCTCACTTCTCACTGCTTCCTTCACACTCCAAACCTCACACTTCACACTTCACACTGCGCTCTTCGCACTCCAAACTGAAACTTCACACTCCACACTTCACACTTCTCACTTCCCACCGCTTCCTTCACACTGCACACTTCACACTGCACTCTTCACGCCCCACACTTCACACTGCTCTAAACCTACGTGCAACAAAAAAACACTAGCGCCAAAATGGAGAAAATCTGCTAACAAATCCATGTCGCAGCCTTCATGCAGCCACTCCAAGACGATGTACGAGATCCAGCTGCAAAAGACAATAGTATTACGAATGCAGCCACAGCACGAAGCAACCTTGACGCAGCCATTACAATGCGATCTGCAGAGACTGAGTTGCAAAACACAATAGAACTACGCGCAACGGCGTCGGAAATTGTAGCTCCAAAACCGGATCTCGACGCCAGAGCAGAAAAAGTTGATTTTTGAAGCACTTTTTAAAACGATTTTTAGAAGGAAAATCATTAGCGCCAAAATGGAGAAAATCTGCTGACAAATCACTGTGGCAGCCTTCATGCAGCCACTCCAATACGATTTACGAAGTCCAGCTGCAAAAGACAATAGTAGTACGAATGCAGCCACAGCACGAAGCAACCTTGACGCAGCCATTACAATGCGATCTGCAGAGACTGAGTTGCAAAACACAATAGAACTACGCGCAACGGCGTCGGAAATTGTAGCTCCAAAACCGGATCTCGACGCCAGAGCAGGAAAAGTTGATTTTTGAAGCGTTTTTTATAAAGAATTGAAATAGAAAATGAAAGCAGGCAAAATCTGAAAGAATCCAGCTGCAGCAAGTTCACGCAGCCATTACAATGGTATTACGTCCTCAGCTCGTCCACCGAAGCATGTGAAACCTTCTAGACATTGCGGGAACGATCCTACAGTTGCAAAGCACAATGGAATTCCATCGGCAACTCCTCCACCAGCACCACTTGCAATGCCATTTGCATTGCGGGAACGATCCTACAGTTGCAAATCACAATGGAATTCCATCGGCAACTCCTCCACCAGCACCACTTGCAATGCCATTTGCATTGCGGGAACGATCCTACAGTTGCAAATCACAATGGAATTCTGTCGACCGCACATGCACGAAAAACAGTTGAAACCCCATTTACAATGCGGAACCGATCCGAGCATGATCCGACCATGATCCGACCATGATCCGACCACACACGAGACCGTCTCGCAACCGTCGCACCGCAGAGGTAGATCATCGAGGTTCGGGGACGGACTTTGTATGGAAAAACATAGGGTTTCGTGCATCTGCTATCTCTCAAAAACGCATTTCGTGCGAGACTTCCTTCAAAACTCCATCGGCAACTCCGCCACCAGCACCACTTGCAATGCCATTTGCATTGCGGGAACGATCCTACAGTTGCAAAGCACAATGGAATTCCATCGGCAACTCATCCACCAGCACCACTTGCAATCCCATTTACATTGCGGGAACGATCCTACAGGTGCAAATCACAATGGAATTCTGTTGACCACAAATGCACGAAACACAGGTGACACCCCATTTACAATGCGGAACCGATCCGAGAATGATCCGACCATGATCCGAGACCGATCCGACCATGATCCGAGACCGATCCGACCACACACGAGACCGTCTCGCAACCGTCGCACCGCAGAGGTAGATCATCGAGGTTCGGGGACGGACTTTGTATGGAAAAACATAGGGTTTCGTGCATCTGCTATCTCTCAAAAACGCATTTCGTGCGAGACTTCCTCCAAAACTCCGTCGGCAACTCCTCCACCAGCACCACTTGCAATCCCATTTACAGTGAGGGAACGATCCTAGAGTTGCAAATCACAATGGAATTCCATCGGCAACTCATCCACCAGCACCACTTGCAACCCCATTTACAATGCGGGAACGATCCTATACAGTTGCAAATCACAATGGAATTCTGTCGACCGCGCATGCACGAAAAACACTTGAAACCCCATTTACAATGCGGAACCGATCCGACCATGGTCCGAGACCGATCCGACCATGATCCGCCCATGATCCGACCACACACGAGACCGTCTCGCAACCGTCGCACCGCAGAGGTAGATCATCGAGGTTCGGGGACGGATTTTGTATGGAAAAACATAGGCTTTCGTGCATCTGCTATCTCTCAAAAACGCATTTCGTGCGAGACCTCCTTCAAAACTCCATCGGCAACTCCTCCACCAGCACCACTTGCAATCCCATTTACAGTGAGGGAACAATTTCTTTGCTAACTCTTTCTTTGACTCACTCTTTTCCTCACTAACTCTTTCTTTGACTAACTTGTTTCTTTGCTAACTCTTTCTTTGACTACCTCATATATCCTGACTAACTCTTTCTTTGACTAACTCTTTCCCTGACTAACTGTTTCTTTGCTAACTCTTTCTTTGACTAACTCTTTCCCTGACTAACTGTTTCTTTGACTAACTCTTTCCCTGACTAACTGTTTCTTTGCTAACTCTTTCTTTGACTAACTCTTTCCCTCACTAACTCCTTCTTTGACTAACTCTTTCCCTCACTAACTCTTTCTTTGACTAACTCTTTCCCTGACTAACTCTTTCTTTGACTAACTCTTTCCCTGACTAACTGTTTCTTTGACTAACTCTTTCTTTGACTAACTCTTTCCCTCACTAACTCTTTCCCTGACGAACTCTTTCTTTGCCAACTCTTTCTTTGACTAACTCTTTCCCTGACATTTTCCCTGACTAACTCTTTCTTTGACTAACTCTTTCCCTGACTAACTCTTTCTTTGACTAACTCTTTCCCTGACTAACTGTTTCTTTGACTAACTCTTTCTTTGACTAACTCTTTCCCTCACTAACTCTTTCCCTGACGAACTCTTTCTTTGCCAACTCTTTCTTTGACTAACTCTTTCCCTGACATTCTAAAAGTCCGTAACACGGAAGTTTCTCCCCCTAAACTTCCTTTGACAAGATGTCAATTTTATTCAATTTCACTCTTTGTTTGATTCTGTGGCACTCCTTCAGATGGGTGTTCCGTTTCTATCCACGTTGCGACTCTGATTGCTGGGTCCGCAGATCATCCCACATAAAGCTTGCCATTTACCCCAGCATAAACCCCCAAAATTTGCTTGTCTGAAGGTATGGCCACTAAGAATTTGATGCTCAGTCATCATTTCCATAATTGTCCATCATTTTCCATCATGTTCCATAATTTTCCATCATTTTCCAATGTTCTTTGGGGGGTTAGCGAGCCCCAAATTTCAGCCACTGCGGGCTCCGTTTTTCTAGGTGATTTATGTGGGCAGCCAGGGTCAAAGTTCCTTGGCGTCATCGCGTTATCGGGGGGGCACAAGCAATGGAGTTATAACCTGGCTATGAGTGGCTAACATATTTTCTCACAACCATAGTTGGCTAACTTCCATAACAAAATATACTTGGAGCCAATTGACATGGTAATTTTGTACATATATATATATACACACTATATATTATATATTACATTCTGGGAGATGGCGCGCCATGAATATTTTTTTTGAAGAACTTCCCTCAACAGGGCCGCATGTGTCATCTCTGGGATAATTAGCAAGCACCAACTGGTAGAGTGGCTAGGTCATTTTCATCCCATCCCCCAAAATTTGAACGTCCCAGAAATGGTCCTTGTTTTCTAAGTGTGAATCCCAACAAAACCATCGTTTCTATAGTTTGTTTTTGTTGGAAGGGATTAACCACTTATGGTCAACTTATGGTGCAACTGGCCATTCTGGACTGGCCATAAGAAGCATTTACCAACTGGGTCTCCAACTCTCCAACCGCCCAGGTCTACCCGTAGGACGTGCGTTCCTGGTGGCATTTGCACAGACTGTGCTGTGTCAGGTGGGATCGTGTCGGGTCATGGGAATTCATGGGACAACGTTTAGGATATCTTACCCTCTGGCAAACATACCCTAGGAAAATGGAGGTTTTAATGGGGAAACCATAGGAAAACCCTAGGAAAATGGAGGTTTACCCTCTGGTGATGACTAACATAGCTGTTGAACATGGCCATTGAAATAGTGAGTTTTCCCATTTTCATGGCATGGTGATTTTCCATAGTTATGTAATAGTTTACCAGAGGGTAACCAACAACTTGTTGTTTGGAATGTTTCTTCATGAAATCATATGCTCAACAACTGTTTTGTTTTTGCATTTTCTTCAGGATGTATGAGCACCGTACGAAATATACTGTAACCGAGAAAACAAATCATACAGGACTACTTAGGACGGGGTATTCAAGATTGGTCCATAGAAATAGCTGATTTGTCTTTTTAAAAAAGTGGTGATGTTCCATCGTTTTTGTATGCTTGCCAGAGGGTACCGTACCCAGAATGATCAGATCACCAAAACAGGCTTCGATGGTTAGATTGTGATGGGTTACTTCCACCTGACGAAGATGGAGATTTCACATCTGATCGTGAGATCTTCGTGTCTGAAAACATGGATCTGGAATATATCTATCTATCTATCTATTTATCTATCTATCTATCTAACTATCCATCTATCTATCTATCTATCTATCTATCTAAATGATTTGAACTTGTCTAGTTAGTTGAAGTTTTAACGTATTATTCATTTCAGACTAAAACCATGCCATTCAATGCCATTCATACTTTGTCTAGACTCACGCGATAATGTTTTCAGTTTGTCTACAAGTAGGGATTGTTTTATTGAAGATTTCGCAATGCATGCATTCCTGGAGTATTCTATCAAATCAACATGAGCTGTGAATATGGAGATACTGAGCAGTTCGAGTCGAGGTTTCTTGCCGCTACAATGAGATCTCATGAGAACTTGAACACCTTTTAATAAAGACATACAATGAAAATATGATTACACACACACACACACAAAAACATCCCGGATCTAAACAAGTTTTTTGGTACAGGCAATGGACCCATATTATATAGTTGCTTGATGGTTTTACGTATGTTCCATGTACATACATATATATATATATATATGGTTTGTGGTTTGGAGCATTTTTCTTTTTCCATATATTGGGAATAATCATTCCAACTGACGAAGTCATATTTTCCAGAGGGGTCGGTTGAAACCACCAAGCAGTCCCCCAGAAACTGGCTGGTACCCTCTGGTAAACTTTTTAAACATACAAAAAACAATGGAAAATCACCATTATTTTATTCGGTAAATCACCATTGTTAATGGCCATTTTCAATAGCTATGTTAGTCATAACCAGAGGGTAAACCTCCATTTTCCTAGGGTTTTCCTATGGTTTTCCCATAAAAACCTCCATTTTCCTAGGGTATGTTTACCAGAGGGTATGGTCAGTGCCGGAATTATAGAACGGAAGTTGAGGAGGACGAAGGTACGGTTATTTACCGTACCCTGTTGTTCTATAATTCTGTTTTCCTCGGAAGGTATGAAAAAAAAATGTATCTGATCTTCCTCCTAATTTTTTTCGTCGTTCTATAATTCTTGTCGGAGCGCTGTTGTTCTATAATTCTGTTTTCCCCCATTTTTCTCACATTTCCCATTTTCGTTCTATAATTAATTTTCCCCGGGCCCCGTTCTATAATTAATTTTTCCGTCGAACGGAAAAATTAATTATAGAACGGAAAAATTAATTATAGAATTATAGAACCTCTTCCGGGGTCCCAGAAATCCTATAAAATCACCATGAAATCTAAGAAAATCACCGTGAAATCCCATAAAATTACCATGAAATCCCATAAAATCACCATGAAATCTTATAAAAGCACCATGAAATCTAAGAAAATCACCTGGTAAATGTGGGAAAAATGGGGGAAAACAGAATTATAGAACGGAAGTTGAGGAGTACGAAGGTACGGTTATTTACCGTACCCTGTTGTTCTATAATTCTGTTTTCCTCGGAAGGTAGAAAAAAAACGTATCTGAATTTACTCCTAACTTTTTTCGTCGTTCTATAATTCTTGTCGGAGCGCTGTTGTTCTATAATTCTGTTTTCCCCATTTTTCCCACATTTCCCTCATTTTATCATCATTTCCTCATCAAATCCTCATTTTATCTTCATTTTATCCTCATTTTATCCTCATTTTATCCTCATTTTATCCTCATTTTATCCTCATTTTATCCTCGTTTCCTCATCAAATCTTCATTTTATCTGCATTTTATCTTCATTTCCTCATCAAATCCTCATTAAATCCTCATTAAATCTTCATTTTATATATATAGATTGTATATGTACAAATATGCAGTAAATATCATGTCAGTGCCAGAAATTATAGAACGGAGCCAGGAGGACAAAAGTACGGTAAAATACCGTACCGTTGTCCTCCTCCCCGTTCTATAATTAAATTTCCCGACTCCGCTCCGAATCGGAACCCGGAGGAGGACAAAGGTACGGTATTTTACCGTACTTTTGTCCTCCTGGCTCCGTTCTATAATTCTGGCACTGACTGTAACCCTTTGATCATTTACCAATGCTTAACAGTATCCGTTGTTGGATCACACTTCCCCATCATCATATTGCTGGTGATGTAGCCACATTGTGCCCTCATATTATTGATATTTATTGATTATGCAACCAATAACCATTATCATAATATATGACAATGATATAATTATTATATACTATGATCAATATCATGATATTATTGTTATAGGTGTCTTGTTATAGATGTTTATATTGATTCTATAGTTATTAGACATGATAAAAAATCACCATATTATCCCATGTCCATGGTTGGATTCTTCACGGTTCAACAAATGCCGAACCCAGGCCGTTTGCCGTTTCAGCACACCCCTGGAGATCCAACGGGCCAATGGGGAACTCTGTTGCTGGGTGAAGGATCCCAAGTTGGAATGGCACCTGGAAATGCGCATGAGTATTTTTATACACATATACATATAAGATATATTGTATATTATATTTTATATGTAAAATGATATATTTATTATGTATATATATACAGTATGTATATATATATATATAATATTAAATTGTATATATATATATATTATTTTTATTATTATTATTATTATATATTATATATCTTATCTTATCTTATCTTATATTTTATTATATTATATTATATTATAATATATATATATATATCCAAGCTATGGCCCCCATTTCCTTCAGATTTGGCAGGAAACTGCAGAATGGACGGCTCGTTCTTGGTAGTGAATCCTCCAATTTGGCAATTTGGTGGACAACTAACATTGAAATATCTCCATGAATGGTTATGGATCATGTTTAAATAGTCTGGACCAGCCAACTTGAACATGTGGGCGGTTATTAAAAAATGCGGGGTTGCCCCGCCGAGTTGTGGCCATTGAATTGTAATAAGGATATTTACCAGTGGATTTGGATTTAGGTTGTCCCATGCAATCGACCAGTAATTGCTCCGTGTTGTTAGTGGTACCGCGAGGTTTGCTCCCTGAATTCCGAAGGTGTTGATAAAATGTTACCATATTTGTTGGCTTTTTCTCCACCCGTTCTGGTTTAAAACCAATTCTTGATCGGTTTTTGTCTGTAGTTTTGACCGTCGCTCAAACCGTCACTGTGAAAAATCTGCGATGGTCAAATCTTCCAAAATTTATACTTCAACCGAGATGATCATCGTCATTGTTGATGCTTCGAATCGCAAATGTGCCAATGTTAGGTACGGTTAGATCCTCCCTGAAATCAGAAAAATGTGCCGCAACTTACCGCCTAAATTACCGAGGTTACTAGTGGATAAATCCACATTTTTCCTGGTTTAAATCATATAAAATCCCCTATTATAAAGAACTCCCATTTCTGGTAAAATCACCTTTTGGATTCCTCAATTTCAATGAATAGATTCCCCATCACCATCATTCACCCTTACATCCCCATCTTTCACACAGAGGCTGGTTGGTGGTTTGGATCATTTTCAATTTTTCCCATCATATTGGGAATGTCATCATCCCAACTGACGAACTCACTCCATCATTTTTCAGAGGGGTCGGTTGCAACCACCAACCAGAAGGTTATTTGAACATCAACCTGTGCTACGAGTGCTTCCGCGACGTCAAAGTTGGCTGGATCCGGCGCTACGACCGGCGTAGCGCCTCCGTCTACTTGCCGTGGATGTTGTGGAGACTTGGACCTCGGGGCGCGCCTGGTTCCTCCCGTAGGGCGCTGGGAGTTCAATGTGACTTAACCAATAAACAATAAGAGTGACATGGCATTTAGCTAACACAAAAAATGGTATTCAAGATGGTAGAAGTACGTATATGATGGTTAACTTAAACATGGTGTTACAACCGGGATAATTATGGCATATTTGTTTGTTTTGAACGCCAGAACATGGTGATTGAACTGGAGACTTCGACAACTCTGTAAACTGCGGCTTGTAGGATGGTGAACTACTACAAGTTGGTGCCCCAGTTCGTTAGCTAAATTGGTGCAAATAAGTCCAAGATCTAGGGTTGATTAGGGGTTATATCTATATAGTTAATTAATGGGGATTAAAAACCAACAAACATAACTGGGGGATACCACCCTGTATAATATATCCAGAGTCATTCTTGTTGTCTTGATGGGTGTAGCAGCTGAGTATGGTTCTTATGGGGGAAGAGATCCCGTGCGAATTCGTATTCACATTGAAGTATTGTTGTTTGTTTGTGTGTTGGTGTTTTCAAGAATAAAAGAGTTTATTCATGTTTATTCAGTCATTTTTAGGATGATGATGATGATACTGTATTATGATTATGACTGTACTATTATTATTACCCATATGCAAGCCATGGTGCTTTACCTAATATTTACCAACAGCCCATGGGACAAATATCCCAGTAACTTGATGATCCCAAGTGGCTCGAAAAAAGCTGCTGGTACTTGTGCTGAAACATTGGGACACCCTATCTTCAATCCATTTATGTATATTAATTACATATTAGTGTATTATGTATATGAAAATTTGTTTTTGTAGAGGTCACTGGTATCAAACACACGGAACATATATATATATATATGTATATATATATATATATATATAGATATAGATATATAGAGATATACACATATGTCAACAAACATTCCATTTTGCTTGGGTTTGTCCATTTTGTCCACTGGTTGCTCATGGTTATAGTTATCACATTCCCGATATGGCCACGGCAAGGGACACCAACAAATCCGTTTGCATGGATGCTTTCGGTTTGAACATCATGTCTTCTTAAAGTGGTCCTGGGGTTGCAAAATCTACAGATTTCTACAGAGTCTTCCAGGTTCAGACAACAAAAGCCATCCATCCGGATCAAATTGGACCAATATACCCGTTTCGGCCATGTACTTCACCTCGCGCATCCCATATGCTCCAAGCACCAAAAAAAAACAGAATTGTTTGCTTGACATTGGTTCTCTCTATTTATATAATCCACAATAATCCACAACTAGTTGTCATTTGATCGATCTGATCCTCATGTTTTGTATTGTTTTGTACTGGCTTGCGGTATCTCAACAATATCCAAGCTTGGTAACCACCAGTTTGTAGCGGATTTCATCATTGTTTCTCATCAACCCGTTGGAGGAACATGGTGACGTGTCTATGGGGTGAACGATCAAATAATCCCTTTATAATATCGAGAAAAAACAAAACAAACACTGATTGGTGGTTTGGAACATGACTTTTTTGTCTTTCCATCTATTGGGAATGTCATCATCCCAACTGACTTTCATATTTTTCAGAGGGGTAGGTATACCCCCAACCAGAACATGATGATCGCCCATAAAATTCTGCGATAGGCTATTTTTCAGACCCAACCATGAAGATGACAAGGATTCCCCAGGCATGAATTAGCGGAAGGAACCTGTTGCACAGTACTTTTCAGCTACACGTTTGCAGCCGTGCCATGAAGTGCGAGGCTGTGAGCGAAAGTTCCATCAAACTTCAAGTCTCCTTACCAAGTGGAAGGTGTGTAACCGTCTCGGTCTTGGAGTCTGGCACCGTTGCTGACCTGAAAATCGCTGCGCAACAGTCTTTGGGGCAACCTTTCCTGAGGCTTGCTGCGCCTGACGGATGCCTTTTAGATCCAACAAAATCTCTTGATCTTTCTGCATTGAAGGATGAAGACAGCCTTGCTGCTGTTGCACAGCAGCCAAAGATAGCTGCAACAAGGTATGCGTTTGCTTTGTGGTGTCGCGGAAGTGACAGAGTTGTCACGTGGGGCCATGCAGACCGTGGTGGTGACAGCTCCAGAGTCCAAGGTCAGCTCAGGAATGTCCAGCAGGTTTATAGCACAGCCTTTGCTTTTGCTGCAATCTTGGCGGATGGAAGCGTCGTGACATGGGGCGAACCAGTCTGGGGTGGTGACAGCTCCAGAGTACAACATCAGCTCAGGAATGTCCAGCACATTTGTGGCACAGGCCATGCTTTTGCCGCAATCTTGGCAGATGGAAGCGTCGTGACATGGGGCCATCCAGACTGGGGTGGTGACAGCTCCAGAGTGCAACACCAGCTCAGGAATGTCCAGCACATTTGTGGCACAGGCGGTGCTTTTGCAGCAATCTTGGCAGATGGAAGCGTCGTGACATGGGGCCATCCAGACTGGGGTGGTGACAGCTCCGGAGTACAACATCAGCTCAGGAATGTCCAGCACATTTGTGGCACAATCCATGCTTTTGCCGCAATCTTGGCAGATGTAAGCGTCGTGACATGGGGCCATCCAGACTGGGGTGGTGACAGCTCCAGAGTGCAACACCAGCTCAGGCATGTCCAGCACATTTGTGGCACAGGCGGTGCTTTTGCCGCAATCTTGGCAGATGGAAGCGTCGTGACATGGGGCCATCCAGACTGGGGTGGTGACAGCTCCAGAGTCCAACATCAGCTCAGGAATGTCCAGCACATTTGTGGCACAGACCGTGCTTTTGCCGCAATCTTTGGCAGATGGAAGCGTCGTGACATGGGGCCATCCAGACTGGGGTGGTGACAGCTCCAGAGTCCAACATCAGCTCAGGAATGTCCAGCACATTTGTGGCACATTCCATGCTTTTGCCGCAATTTTGGCAGATGGAAGCGTCGTGACATGGGGCCATCCAGACTGGGGTGGTGACAGCTCCAGAGTGCAACATCAGCTCAGGAATGTCCAGCACATTTGTGGCACAGGCGGTGCTTTTGCAGCAATCTTGGCAGATGGAAGCGTCGTGACATGGGGCACTCCAGACCGGGGTGGTGACAGCTCCAGAGTCCAAGTTGAGTTCAGCTACGTCTAGGCGCATCTCAGTGCATAAAAGATCAGATAGCGGATGTGACTTCGTTTCAGGGGAACCATCCGCGCACATTGAAACCCAACAAAAATCTAATTATATATCGTACCTCCGTCACCCACAAGGTTTCTGTTTATCAGTTTTGGAGCTGCCAAGAGCCTGTGTTAGAAGAAATGTGGAACTTGAAACTGGTTTTGCAGCTTCCTTGTCAGGGTGCATGATTTTGCCACATCATTTATATTTATATGTATATACTATATATATAATTATATATAATTATATATATATATATTTTTTAATGTTGTCTAACCAATAGTGATGTATTGTCAATAGTAGACATTTTTTCCGCAACTCTAGTTTTCATCTCCAATGCTAAAAGTCAATTGGCTCCATTTACTTTTAGTATTGCCAAAAGAGTCATGTTCAGACCTTGTCCAGAGGGCATGGCCAATAGTGGACCCAACATGGCAATAGTGGAAACTTTTTTCCCAACTCCATGTTTTTCTCCAATACTAAAAGTCAATTAATATGTATAACATTATGTATATGTATATATATATATACACGTATTATTATGTATAATATATATATATATAATTATATATATACAATTATATACACATGGGCTGGGTCGAGACAACATGCTGCAAACATTCTTTACGACTGAATATGGTTGATGTCGCAGTGTCCATGGTGGTTGAACATTCATAGACCCCATACCTGTGTGTGGTTTGTTCATGGTACCTTCTCACGTCTTCACAGATACCCAGAGACCCCATGAACTCTGCCTCCAGCTCCTTTCTCCAGGATTTGGAATGGTGGGAACGTGCTTCTCTTTATGCTCTTGGTGTCTTGGAGAGTTTTGGAGATGTTTGTTGCTTCGATGTCTGCTTCTGAAACAGGCAACTGGAGTCAGAAAACGAGTGGCTGGTGGTCCCATTAAATGCGTCAAGGAGATTTGCAATAGTTTTATAGCCACACTAAATTTGAAGGTGATGTTCAAAAGCACACCTAATGGACCCAATTCTGTTTACTGAGTTTACTTGCCCAGTAAGATTCCGTTTATCATATTAATATCATATATATATATATATATTCATTATTTTCCCGTTTAAAAGACAACAATAACCGGTTATATTTTCTGTTAGATCCAATGGCTACTACAAATGCAACGTCTGTTTTTGTGGTCATTTTTTCATGGTGATATGTTTCCGTCAAACCTAACCAGCTAAAAATCCATATGCATTTGTTTTTTCGGCCATGGTACTGGGTGAAAGCCCTAAGTTGTCTCAGGTAGCACTTTGTTGTCTCATCTCGGTGTGCCATGCGGAAGAGGTGACACAACCACTGGAATGAATTACTACATGATTTGTCATTTGGTATGATCTTTAGAGCAGAACGCATAGGCACGCAAGGATTCTCAACATTGCAAACATTAATTATATCCATTTGCCCGATTTGCCCCCTAACAATCCCTGGAGCAACGTGAGTTTCCCACACAGTGTGTCCACACTCGGGGGTCTTGTGATCGGTCCTCCTCCTCCTCAGTATCATCATCTTCCTCCTCCTCCACATCATCATTCCCAGCATCATCCTCTTCCTCCCCCTTGACATCATCATCCTCAACATCGTCATCCTCCACCTCATCTTCTGCAACATCCTCCTCCTCCACCTCCTCTTCAGCAACATTCATTATCATCCTTTTCATCCTGCTCC